TACATACGTTGAAGTCCATATAATATATTTCGAATTACCTCTAACGCCTGCAATTACTTTGAAATACTTCAAAATATGTTTATATTGCTGCCCATGGCATTTAAAATCATTTTATGCTTCTTATATCCGGATATTGTGAAGTTCATTTGACAGGTCGAACCATCCGGATGCCTTCAATTCCTTTGAACAAACGATTGAACATTGTATGCGGCGGCGCAGCACCAACAACGGCGGCGGAGCGCATGGCGTGCTCACCAGAAGCCGAAAGAAGCTCATGGAACTGCAAGGCTACTTGGCCAAGGAAAGAGTCATTGACGATGTGGAATTGGACGAGTACATCAACCGCCTCGACGAAAAAATTGATGCCATGCACGATGTGATGACTTGGGGAGACCACGATGATGACAGCGGGGTGACGGACGACGATGATTCCGACTCGGATGAAGATTCAGATTACAACCCGAATCGAAGCTCGAAAGCGACATCGTCGCGACCTGGCTTTGTGTCTCATGTATTTTGGTCCTCTGTCGGGCCTGGCCTCGTCCTTCCTGTATTGTACCATCGTTGGTCGTACTCATCGTACCCGTTATCGAGCTCGTCAGTCTTCTCCTATCTGGCCAAAGTCTTTGTGAATTGGGCCAGCGTGGTCCTCCTCGTATGCTTGTCATTTGCGGGCGTCTGCCACACGCGACAGTTTCTTCAAGGCTCGCTGTTCAAGGTCCCGTCGGAAGCCCAGACATGCGCGTTCCATATCTGGCACACACTGCTGAACTGCGTCGACAAGTACGGACGCGAATGCTACACCACTTCCGACTGTCAGTTTCCGCTGGGCCAAGTCGTCGGTGCGCTGGTTGGACTAGCGCTGGTGGCCCGGTTCTACCTGCGGCGTGTTCAAATTGTCCTGGCAGCGCTATTTCTCGTACACCATGGCTTGCAGCAATGGACAACACATTTGTCGGTAATCTTGGACACCGCGGCAACATTCCATGCTCGATCAATCGTCCACATCGCCTCCATCGACCCGACCTTTGCCTACATGAACGAACCCATCCACATTCTCTTGGACGGCCACAACTTGCATGAAGGTATGCTTGTGGGTTGGGTGCCGTACTGGAGCTGCAGCCGCGAAGCGGCTGTCCTTTCCGACTGCCCCGTCGATTTGGTCGCGCCCATGAAGCATGGAGGAGTCACCCAAACATTTCCAGCGGTTGATGAGTACACCGTGTGCGTGGACAAGAGCGCCACGGCGCCTGCTGCTTTGTCCAGTCCTACACCGTCCTTTGCATGCTTCCCAGAAGTTCGGCTTAAAGTCAAGCATGCTCAGAGCAACCCTGGCTGGTCCTTGCATCATCAATAAAGAAACTCCATGGACGTGTACGTGTCGCTTAGTTTACTCTAACTTGCACTTTACGTCATCGCCGGTGTCTCGGTCGATGTCAACGCAGTATAGTACGGTGTTGCCTGTCGCACGAAGTAGGACTCGGAGACTTGTCGCCGTCGCGAGGATATCGAGGAACCCATACTTGCGCTCGTCCAGCGTCCAGACGACTTTGGCAGACTCTTGATTAGCAGCTTGTGCTCCGTCTAGTACTTGAATCGGGATGCCTCCACCGACACCGTTCGTCATGAAGTGACTGGCAAATCCATCGTCGCCATTGCTTTCAGCATCACTGCCTTTGACGTGGTCGACATGCTTGCTGTGCTTGGAAATTCGCTTCGTGTGTCGTTCCTTGAGCCGTCGCGCCGACGGCAATGCTTCGACATGCGTCATCGTTGGGTTTGTCGCATGGAGCCATAAATGGACTCTGCCTTGCGCGGTCGCGTCGATCCATTTCAAACGGTCCGACGAATCCATCGCCCACGGAGAGACATGGCCGTTGACAATCTACCCACGCATGCAACAAAACATGACGGTGCCTCCTTTCGATGTCACTGCAACTTTTGTCCACAGGTTGAAGGCCAGCGTACCTTAAATGTAGCATTGGAGACCGCGACATCCGCCTTGAATTTTGTGTATGACGCGTCCGCCATCGCCCTGAGCTCTCCCGAGCAAGCTTTGTAAAACGCATAGTTTCCTCCAGCGCAGTAGTCATCTCTTGCAGAGATGGATGTGCATGCGGTTGCAGCACGCGTCGGGTGCGCGTACCCGATGCATTGACAGCAAATTGAGCGCGCTGACCCCACGAGGACGTTGACGTGGAAGACGTCGACTGTCACTTGTCCGTCCTTGGATACAAGCCGTTGCTTGTAGTACTGGTCCTTCATGGTCCATCGAGGATCCTGAATTGTTCCAGTTGATACAGCCCCTTCGTCGTGGCTGTGTTGGATCTTTTTGGGTTTCGCGTGTTGCATATTTTGGGTGCCTCGAATGGCCAAGGCCCGACCGCCGGAGGGCGGCTCGCTTCGTTGCGACGCGATCTTGTGACGCAACCCAGCAATGAGTTCGTTTTCGTTTCCGCACGCGTGCAACGTAGCTTCAGTCGAGCCGCAAAGAAATCGGCCACCACCAACGTCGTGTTCGCCCATGATGGCCGTCCACGGAACCGCAGCGAGCGATAGCTGATTGTACTTGGACGTAAACGTCTCATTCACGCGGGCTTGGACAGACCGTTCTTGATTTGAGGGTGGCAGGAGGCCGTACCAGTTGAAGTTATTCCTGATCGATTTCATGAGCATCGAACTTGGGCGGACGTGGACATTCAAGTACCCTTGGGTCACGATGAGCTGAGGAGGTGGGCCTTCTCTCGCGGCAAAGGCCATGCTAGAAGCCACTTCGACCTGCGCGCTTCGATCGATCTTGTCTTGATAACGATACCTACCGTCCAGTTTTGCGCCAAACGATGGATCGGCACCCCAAGAGCCCAATGCGAAGAGCCGTACGACAACGGGCGGTGAGGCTAGCTCCAACTCAGAAATCAACAAGTGCTGAGCACTTACCTGGCGCGGGTAATGTGGGCGATGCTGTGGGCTTTGCTGCGGCACCTCCGTCGCCATCGGTCGTGGAATTGTCTGGTTTCGCAAAGTCTGTTCGACTTGGCTCGTTGTCGTCAAGGTTGTTGTACTGGACAGTAATCACAACGCCGACGACGGCACCCGCCACTGCACAGATCGCCAACAACGCGTAGACGACGTACATGGGAGTACACCACCGCATGCGCCGCAGGCCACTACTCGATTCTGAGGGTGCAGGGGCCAACGCCTCCTCATCGTTGTCGCCGCCGTCGTCGTGATGTAAGTCAGTGCTCACACTGAGTTGGTCTTGAGCTATGCTGAGCACCGGCACGTGCCTCCTGGCGCCTCGCTCATCGTCAGCCACCATCATCGCGGCAATGGATCACCAAAGGTCCTCGGAATTGCCATGCATTACGATCTTCAACCCCAACAATTGACGATGTTGTTTCGCATGATTGTACCCAATCAAACGTCGACATCGGCGTCTTGACAATTCCGCAGCGTTTTCAAAAACACCGAATAAATTCCCAAAAGAAAGCGAATTTTCGGTAAGTACACTTCTTTACTGATATGCAAGGTCGACGTTGGAGACGGCCTGGTGGAGCACTTGATCACGAGGGTCTTCAGCAAATCTACGAATTTGAACGGTCGGGAAAGGTGTGTGGCGCTCAGACCGGTGCTTAAGCGCCTTTGAACGTCCACTCAATTTCGGGTGGGCCACAGATCCGACATGCTGCGTGGAAGGCACAACATTGTGCGAAGGCGTCAAACTCACATTGCAACAAGCGAATGTCGACAACACACGAGGAACTCCCGATCGGAGAGGCGCTACTTATTGTGGTCAGAGGAGATTTCTGGGGCTATGGTTGCCCCACATTAATTAAGCAGAAGTCCATATACATAAAGCTGACGAAGTGAGGACACTACGGAGGATTCGTTCCGTCGCCAACAGGACATTACCTGGTTCGCTGTCGCCCACGAATAATACTTGCGCACGCTATAAAATTTCGTCGAGCCGACGGGCAGCGCCATGATATCCTGATTTCAGACGTGGCTGCATGGCAAAGAAGAACCTCCAGTTTCCCATCCCATCATCTTTCTGGGTGCTAAGGTGGCACCAGATCTCGTTTGGCGTACGGTATGCCACGAACTCTCGTGACCGCTGCACACTGCGGCCATTGTGTGGACGGGGATGGGTAGATCGGTAGTTTCAGCGCCCCAACTTCAGCCGACGGAGCGCTGGAACACCTCAGCCTTCTCCCGGTCCATGACCCACGCAAGCCGCCCAGACATGCCCGCGCCAGGAAGCTGTGTACCGTCCATGATGGGGACGGGGGTAATACGACGTACGTAACAAAACCAGGGCGCGATTGTCGGTCAACCCACAGTGCGTCATATCGCGTCTTTGCTGCGGTCCGCTCCGCCAAGGAGTGGAAGAAGTGGCACGGACGGGTGTAAGCCCAGCGCCCTCCCTGAGCCCACAACAACAATCCAACCGAAGCTTGCTCGCTCGTATCGCCAGCGGTTCCCTGCGGTCCAGTCGCTACGGCGTCGCTCCCCAGCGTTGTCTCAACCAGAGGGCCTCGACGGCGCTGCGCCAAAGTATGCTTGTCACTGATTGGTTAAAAAAGTTCTGGCACCTTTTTACAGCCAATCAAATTGCAAAATAGTCCCACTTCCGTCGAGAAAATCGAAAGCCATCGGGTGGCCTTCAACTTTTCATCGATACAAATTACAAGTGAAGACGCGCTTGTTCTGCGCTCCTCCAACACGCACCACCTACGGCGTCTAGTGCGTGTTTTCCACGCACCTGATGGAAAAACCTTAGATCACTTGACAATTTTAGCCAATCAATTGGGACTACGAGAATTTCACTACACACGCACTCGACGCCCCGGCCATGGTTGCGGCGCACCTCACCGATGAATGGATGGGATGATGTGGTGCAAGGAGGAGAACGAGTGAGATACGAACGTG